GGCTTTTACATGCCTTTTTTTTAATGGGTTTTGATATGCTTTATTTGTTTATTTATTTTTTATGGCCAGTGATTGTCATTTCCTTCCAGCCAGACTTATTTTTGGCTAGTGATTTAATGAACTTTGAAGTTGATATTATTACTTTATTAGGGATATTTTCATTTAGGGATAATTGAATGGGTCATCTAATATGAAACATATTTTCTTATAAACTTGTATGTACTTTATTCGGCCGACTATTCAAAATAATAAAAACCCACTTTGACAGAAATTTGAAAATTAAAATCCATTAAAAGATATTGTGAATCAGAGACTCACATTTTACTCATTTACGTGAATTTTTCTGATTTTTCATAATTTTCTTTGTTTTTCCTCTTTTTATCTAATTTTCTACATATTTTTGTTGATTATTTAATTTTGTATACCTGTTTGAATAGTAAATTGGTATGGTTCGACCAATCCAATTAAACCAATGCCTTCATTGGTTCACTCACTTGTCCGGTCCTAACAACACTGGTTCAAAAACTCGTCTTCGCCAAGTTACTCGGCCCTTGGCCGAGGCTAGTAACTCAGCCGAGTCTAAGTGGATTAGGCCAAGTCACATATAACATGAAAAGGTCAAAAAATTTTAATTTAAAAGTATTTCAAAACAAAAAAAATAAAATAGGTAGTAGAAAAGTATTGGAAGACTAAAATGATGAAAAATATATCTAACTTATAGATCACAAGACATTTTGATTTAGATTTTGAGTTTTTTTAAAATTTTTAAAACTTTTTTAAGAAGAAAACTATGAAAAGTTCTTAAATCATTTTAAAAACTACCAAAATCATCTAAAGCTTTACATATAACAAATAGTGTTTCCCTATTTTTTCATATTTTTATATTTGTGCCCGTGGAAGGTAGCCCTAACTTGGCCCGACCATAGGGCGGGCGAGTCTTAATCTCCGGCGAGCTGGGTCTTAGTTTAAAGTTTAGGGTTTTCTTTACATATGTCCTTAAAAATGTTTAATAAATTGCCAAATTAATTTAATAACTTGCTAAATTACTTTTGTGAAGGGCATTTTAGTAATTTTAGGGGCATTTCATAGGCAGACCGGGACCCATATTCCATACATGGGTCCCAGACTCAGACTCGGACCCAATGAATTATAAATAGAAAAAATAAAAAATTAGTTAAGAATTAAAGTTATCTTAAAAACATGTACCAAAAAATTACTTAAAAATTACCAAAAACATGTAAATAACTTATAAGAAGATTTGATGAATAATTAATGAATTTCCATATTTTAAGACTAATAAGAAGATTTGAAAAGTAAAAATATGTATATATATATATATATATACAATAATATATTAATATATATAGTATAAATGTAGTATATATAACTTTTATATATTTAGAAGGGGTGGGTAAGGCCATAAAAAGAAGAGTGCCGAAAGAATATAAAAGACTATATATATATTACTATATTTGCATTGATCAATTTATATATAAAGATGTTGTACAATATTTTAAATTAACTAGGTCAGGTCTAGGGTGGGTCCACCTCAACCTAGACCCAATCCGATTTACTATTAGGGTCAAAGATTTGGATCCAGACCTGATCCAAATACTTTTTTGTATTTATTTTTTGAAAATATATACAATGAAACTATTTACTTTTGACGCATGGAGGTGACAATTATCATTGATAGTTACATCTAAAATTGGGTGGTTCAGGATTTGCCATTATTTATGCTCAAAGTTCAAAATGGAAATTTTCAAAATGTTGTGACACATTTTCATCATTTGAATACGACATCCAGTGGCTAAAAATGATTGTAACCTCTTTATACCAAAAATAAATAGTCTTATAGTATACAATCACTTACTCTTTTTCCACTCTCTTGTATTCAAATTTGTAACTTGCTTGTGTGACAGGCTTTTCCTAATTGGTTTACAAAAATATGGCAAGGGGAGTTGGAAGAGCATCTCCAAGCTCGTCATCAAGACCCGCACCTCGACTCAGGTTGCGAGCCATGCTCAAAAGTATTTTATACGACAAAAGGCACTGGCAGAGAAGAAAGAGAAGATGCGCGCAAGCGTCCATGACATGAGTGTCGATGATCTTGATACACAAGCGAATGAGGAGTTGAGCTCAACTGAGTTAGTCTCGGATATGATGCATGAGCTCTTAAGGCCGCAAGTGGAACCTACCCAAACTTATGGGTCCATCCCGTCCCCTATGGCATACGAATTCCCAATGCAAGAGGCATCCATGTTACCATTAGACGTCATGCCTTTTAGCCAATTTCATCCTTGGAATAATGATGACCATCCGCATATGTGTGTGCATGATCTTGATACACAAGCTACTAAGGAGTTGCGCTCAACTGAGTTAGTCTCGGATATGACACATGAGCTCTTGAAGGCGCAAGTGGGACCTACCCATACTTATGGGTCCATCCTATCCCCGATGGCATACGAACTCCCAATGC